CCCCCCCCCCCCCCACACACACACACAAGAATTCCTGCAGCCCTGAGACAGATCTCCTCTTACTGGCTGTTCGTACCACCGCTGTTGACAGCTTCCATCCCCCACGACTCACCTCCGTTGCCCCTGCTGGCTGAAAACAGGGTCTGTCTGCATGGGCACCAGCAGGAGGTGTGGTCAGAGTGCGTGGGAGGAGTGGAAAGAGAGGAGCTGCTGCTGCAAAGGTGAAATACTTTCTAATAAGTTCATGTTGGAAGAAGCAGAGTTAGTGACAAGTATATAGGGATGGAGGGAAACACTCCTTGTAGGAAGAGGAAACACTGAAGCAGTGGAAGGTGGCATAATCATGCTAATCCCTGAGCCCTTGGATGAAAAATAAAGTTATGGTTGGGGTCCCAGCCCAGGATGGAGGAGTTCCCCTGGGGTTTTATCACAGTAGCAATAGAAGGGCAAAGGAAGAAAATGTCACTTAAGTTTTCTTATAAGGATTTGCCAACCCCCGTCTTTTGATAATTAGAGTGAAGCCAGCATTTCTGCCCCCTAGCCTGGCAAGGAGAATCAGTATCAGGAGTCTCCTAGACATCTGGCTCCTTGATCAGATGCAATCATGTACGTTCAGATGAGACTAAGTTCAGAAATAGGCGCTCCTGGATGGAGCTATCTGGGATGCCCTCTAGAAGCCATCTGATGTCTCTCGCCTAGGTAGCTGCCCGCAGAAGAACACATCTCTCATCTTTCTCTTTCTTTCCCTTTTTTTCCTCTAACTCACTTTTTTCTTTACCTTTTTAAAAAATTTTTCAGTCTCCCCCCTCCTTTTTTCTGTTTGCCTTTTCCTTTCTGTGTCTTCCCCACAAAACCAAAATTTTTTAATCAAATGGAGTTTCTTGGTATAAGGCCTTAAAATAACTTAATCAAGCCCCATGTCTGCCATTTCTCTGTTCCTGGTAAGCTTGTTCACTCCTACACTGTGATTAGGACAAAAAAGGTATGACTGTAGTTCACACTTTTTGATCCCCTTTAGAAAAAACCCTAGATATGGACATAGAACCTTAAGAAAAGTAGAAGCTCTAGTCGTGATAAAGGAGATAAGGTTTTTGGTTTTCCGTTGTTGAATCTAGGAAGTAGTTTGGCGGTGGTGGTGGTGTTTACGTGGGGGAGCATCCCTTAAATAGTACACATTGATGGAGTCTCCTGCAGACAGTGAGCGTGTGGTCAGTGCTGAAGGAGTTAGAGACTCATGCAGATAATCAAGTGTTGACTGTATGTGTAATGGTAAATTGAGCAAAATAAAGAGTGCCAGGTAATGTCCTAAATGTGGGACAATTGATATATAACCACATGTATTCGATGTATGGATAATTATGTAATATTTTATTTGTTCTTACAGCCAGGTTGTCAAAGCAGTGGCAATAAACTGCTAAGTAAAATATTTTTAAATTATGTGCTTAAAGTCATTTTCTTTATTTTCTTTTGATGTGAACATTTCTGAATTTGCAGTGATAGCTATTTTCAGTGGAGAAAATATAAGAATCTTGTATCCATGGACGAGTAGAAGAAAGGCGCATTAGAATTTTTTAAGGGACTCTCTTTTCAGTTTGCTGATGAACTTTTTGCAATTGAATAATGAATGTGTCTAACTCTTTTGTAGGCATCCTCTGGTATTACGATTCCAAAACCCCCAAAGCCACCAGATAAGCCGCTGATGCCCTACATGAGGTACAGCAGAAAGGTAGGTGCCCAGGAGCTGGAAGGGAATGAGCACTGCGTCTTTGTTCTTGGCTTTACGTTGGATTTCAGATAGGCTTAGCCAGCTTTTCTGTGCAGAGCCAGAGGAAAGGATAAAGAATTGCGGTTTTCAAGGAAGTTAGTTCTAGTTTCAATATTGCAGAACTAAAATCCAACAAGAACAGTTAAACTGTTAAAATCCTTAAGATAATGCTATGTAGTCTTTTGGAGAATATTTAATGACATGAGAAAAACGTTAATTGAGAAAAGGGATACAAGACTGTGTGTTAATATCATTTTTATAAAAATAATAGCAACTGCATTGTTAGTTTAAAGGAAAAAAAGCCTAAAAGACAATAGTTATCTCTAAACAATAAGCTTATGGTAATTTTTATTTTCTTTATACTTCCTTGAATTCTCCCTCTTTTTGTTTTCTAATGATGAACCTACATTACTCTTAAAATAACAATTATAGCTGATATCTTTATGAAAGAAGAGCATTTGGCTATTTTCACACTATTTAGAAATTTTTCAATTTTTTGGTCATAATTATCTGTATATATTTGAGGATATGGTGTATTGTATTATACAAATTAACCACTTTCCTTCTAAATTATCGTGAACTTTTAGAGACACACAGACTAGGTTATTGAGTTAGCTCATCTTAAGTGTCTGCAGGGATTGGAGATGTCTGAGACCTGCCGTAAAGTAAGCCAGCAGAGTCTGGATGAAATGAGATTGGCCAGCTGTTGATAACTGTTGCAGCAGCTTGATGAGAACACAGGGATATGACACTATCCCCTCTGCTTTTGTTTTATTTAAAAATTTCCATGTTAAAAAGTGTTTTTAAAGGTCTCTATTTTTAGGCATCAATACTGAAATGTCATCTGTTTCCTTTTTAAGGTCTGGGACCAAGTAAAGGCTTCCAACCCTGACCTAAAATTGTGGGAGATTGGCAAGATTATTGGTGGCATGTGGCGAGATCTCACTGATGAAGAAAAACAAGAATATTTAAACGAATACGAAGCAGAAAAGGTATAATGGGGCCTGCAAAGGGATGGGTACAATGTGAAATGCACAAACATTTGCTTGTTATTTTACAAGAAACATAAGATCTAATCAGACAGCTGAGGCTGCACTCGGGCCTTGTCTGCCTGGGTCAAATCACTTAATCTCTCTGGGCTTCAGATTCCTTGTCTGTAAAACGGAGATAATTGTCATGTCTTTTGATATTCAAATGAGATAATATAGGTATTCATTATAACCTGCAAAATGTTAATTATAAAACTTGAAAAACATTTGAATTTCAGATAGAGTACAATGAATCTATGAAGGCCTATCATAATTCCCCAGCGTACCTTGCTTACATAAATGCAAAAAGTCGTGCGGAAGCTGCTTTAGAGGAAGAAAGTCGACAGAGACAGTCTCGCATGGAGAAAGGAGAACCTTACATGAGCATTCAGCCTGCTGAAGATCCAGATGGTAAAAGAAAAGTGGGGTTTCGTTTATGCTTTCTCTGAGAAGTAAAATAAAAATCTCTTGTTTTTAATTGATATCCTAAGTGGAAAACAAAGCATAAATTAAGTACCATTTCAATATTTTGAATAGTTATTTTGAGTAAGATTTGTATGTGAATTTCCCACAAGAAAAGGAAATGTCCTTTTTAGTGCAGAAAATAGCTAAAATTATTTATTTTTTATCAAAATCTTTGTACTCAGAATACATGAAAGGTTTTTGAATCAGATCAAGATTTTGCCTCAGTTGCTTTTAAAAAGCTAAGTGCCTTCTAGTTATATCCTGTTTTCTTACTGGGTCCCTTGATTTGCTGAATTAAAGGCTCTTAAGGGAGAAAGTTAATAAGAGGGAAGAAGCCTGAAATTTCTTTTCCAGTTAATTCAAAAATCCAACTAGAATTTATAAATATAGCTTAGGATAACACTCATGAGGGTGCACACATGGAAATTTTATACACACACACACAAATAGCAGAGCTTCCTAATTGGCATTCCACAGTTTGCAGGTGTGCATATTCGGCCCCTGGTCCCCTGCAGCCAGGCGGGGTCTGAAGCTATGAGGAGCACCAGAACTAGACACCTCCAGCTAGCATATCATCCACATACCAAGCGTACTGTCCAAGTAGTGCTTTCTCTGTGTGCTGCTGTGATGTGGAAAAGGTTGGAAGCTCTAGCTACAAGCAACAAAAAACATCAAGAAAATAATTTAAGATCCTATTTTAAAGTAGCAGTAACAAAGAAGCTTGTAAGAACTTTAAAGAAGATGCTATTGAGAGAGGAAGCAGTAATACCACCTAAAGGCATGATATACTTTAAAGGAGAGGAAAAAATGATTTTTTAAAAGAATGGACTCGGATATTGACAAATATTCTCATAAATACAGAATAGGATATAGTAATAAATATAGAGAACAGAATATGGAATAGAAACAGTATCGAATGTTAAACAGAATCGGCAGCGCTAAAGACACACGAGCATATGCAGACCTTAACTACTAAATTGGATGATTAATGCAAGAAAAACATACGCAGAATTAAAAAGTAGAAAAGACCCAGTCTACAAATAATTGGAAGGATGGGGCTCAGTACAAGAGGAAGCAGGCTGGCAACATAGAAGCCATAAGTAGAAAATAGGTCAGGTTTTCATTAGGTGAAAGATAGCAGCATGAACATTGAGAAGGACTGAAGAGATTCATTCAGGAACAGTCTTCAAAAGAGAATCCTTTTCTCTGTTTCTCAAACTTCTGCCAACTGTGTTTTCTAAGTTTAAGATCAAATCTTAAAGCTGCTAGTAAGAAAGGACAGATAATAATTAAGATGCCAAGATAAGAATGACTTTAGACCTTGGACTTTATCCCTCAGAACTGGGTAGAAAGAGGGAGACTTGAGAAGTGGAAATGTCCATAAAACGAAGAGAAGGGTAGCAGACTGTGAGTCCACCAGCTGCGAAGACAACTGAAAGACTACGAGAAACATGCATTTATACACACAAGACGGGGAAGGCTTTTTAAATGATGTTTTAGAGAATGTTCATGAGATAAAGTAAATAGCTGGTAAGTTAGAAAATAAATAGAAAATATAAGCCTATTCCCTCCCCACCCACCAAAAAAAATCAGACACCTAAAGTACAAGGAAAGACAGGCCCAGATTGCTAAGACTTTATTTCCCCTACCAGCGGCCAGCACTGGTGCCATGTAGATGAAAGAAGAGAGCAAAAACTAGCCACAGAAGAGAGAAGTTAGATGGAGGTAGCACAAATATACCAGATATAATCTAAATGTGAATAGAAAAACTCTTCCTTAAAAAGTAAGAAGGTCCCAGAATTTTTTTTAAATAATATCTTTTATTCCAATAATTTTAATTTCAGAAGTGTATATCCTAAAGAAATTACCTGAAAAGGAAACAAAAAGTAATTTCTACAACCGTTTGTAGTGGTGATGTTTATGGATGATGAGTTTTAGGAACTACTTAAATACCAAATAACAGGGGATGTACTGAACTATGACATGGCAGCACAACTGGGGCCTCTGTAGCTGAGTTTCCTAAGGAGTGGTCCCTCCACCTCTAATGGGACACGACGTTGATTAGGTGGTTCAGAGAGGAACTTTTGTTTTAATATGTATTGCTTAAGAGGGAGCTCTTTTTTTTTTAAGTGAGTTAATTTAAATAATATTAAGTAAATGATAGTACAAGTTGTTAGCAGGTAAGTCAAAAACTGTGGAGGTGGTGAGCACAGGTTGAGATTAGGAAACACTGTTGCATAGCTATTAGAAATAAGCATATACACCAGATCCGTGCTATATGTGTATGAGCTTGAGTGGATGAAAGCAACGCAGTACATTTACGCACTGACAACAACTGTATACATGTGTAAATTGATAAAAATTAAAAGTAAAATTTGGTATTAAACATTTATTTTTTTTCCTATAAAATTACTTTAGGGCCTTAGTGGGTTTTTAATCTCATAAAATGTATTTGCTGGTGTGGGAAACTGAATATTGCTAGAGATAATGTTTTCTCTGCAGTGGGCATTTTCATTACTTTAATATTGAAGTGCTGCGATGACAAGGACATTGCCCCGTTCGTATGTTGTCATCGGTTGTAAACGCCTTAAATTGCTACCAAGAGAGTGAAACATTTGGTAGAATTTCGCTTTTGTCGTCACGTGCAGCCTTCACATTGATTTCCAGGCCAAAAGACACATGGTTTTATCTCATTTGTGTTTCAGCTGAATTCTTCTCAGACACATGTCGTCACTTAAAGATTTTGTGAGAAAAACCAGCATCTTGGCCAATGAACACATTAGGTCCTCTGTATGGTTTTTATCAAGTGACTGCCCCAGTGCTCCGTTAATGCCCTGTAGGCCCACTTGTTAGACCAGTGAGAGCCATGGCTCCTTGGTCAAGTGTTACACTCTCCTGTTTATGATTACTGGTGACCTAATTTCCAGAACATTTTGTTTATTCCAGATTATGATGATGGCTTTTCAATGAAGCATACAGCCACTGCCCGTTTCCAGAGAAATCACCGCCTCATCAGTGAAATCCTTAGTGAGAGTGTGGTGCCAGACGTTCGGTCAGTCGTCACAACAGCTAGAATGCAGGTCCTCAAACGGCAGGTGCAGTCCTTGATGGTTCATCAGGTAAAGTCACAAAACATATGTTCTAGTAAAATAGGCCTATGCCACAGATCAGGTGACCTGATTCTATTCCACGCATCAGTGTGCCTCTTCAGTATTTCTGTGTTTAGTCTAACCTGTTCCTGATTCAGGGAAGAGGCTTGAGGGAGTGGACCTTTCCCAGAGATTTAATAAGTTTGTCATTAAAACTGTAACAGAGAGGGGCCGGCCAGTGGTGCAGTGGTTGAGTTCGCGTGCTCTGCTTCGGCGTGGCGGGGTTCGCCCCTTCAGGTCCTGGGCGGAGACCTAGCACCGCTGATCAAGCCGTGCTGTGGCAGGCACCCGCATATGAAAAGTAAAGGAAGATGGGCACGGGTGTTAACTCAGGGCCAGTCTTCCTCCACAGTGGTTGTTAACTCAGGCCAATCTTCCTCAAAAAGACTATGACATAGAGCCTTGTGATGGGAAGTATATCCATTAAGAATTTGAGATATCCAATCAATCTTTACTGCTTTACCAAATATTTTTTTCCTGAAGAAATTGCTTGGGCCTGAGACAGTATTCTTTAACATATGTTTGTTAATCTTAGTCACTCCTGTATGCTGCATTTTATATTGTAAAAGCTAGACACATTCTGTAAAAAGTTATTTAAAAATTCGAAACATTTGTCACACTGTGAGAAAGTGTGGACCATTAAAAAAATGAGACAGATTTTCTGTGTTTGACATTTGCTTTAGAGAAAATACTGCAGGATTTATAAAGCCTCATCATATGTCTTACAGCGAAAACTGGAAGCTGAACTTCTTCAAATTGAGGAGCGACACCAGGAAAAGAAGAGGAAATTCCTGGAAAGCACGGATTCATTTAACAATGAACTTAAAAGGGTATCAACTTAATATGTTCACTATACTTTTATCACTGTGTCTGTTACCCTTTTTTCGTTATTTTTTCCAAAATAGTATTTTTGTTGAATGTTGTTGGCTTTGAAACAGGATTAACTTGGCTATAACTGGTAAGATCTTTGCTGTCTAAAATTATTCCCATTTTCTGGCGAACTTACAGTAGGTTTGAAGTATCATATAGTATACACACATGTACTAGGCCTACAGACTCTAGAACCCTCTCGTGTTTTAATTTAAACTCATGCAATCGTGAATTGTTTTCGTTTTTCTGAGATTTAGTTCTCAAATATCGTCATTCGGTGTAGTTTACGGTTTGCACTTGGTATTAAAACAAGTAAGTCGAGTGTTTGGTGGCCTAACGTAGAAAATGGAAGGCTTGTCTGTAATCCAGTACTTTCAGCATTGCCTCGCCAGCTGTTCCATGGTATTTGCTGTTACATGGCCACTAGAGCAACTTTATTTTCCTCTAGACACAAGAGTTCCAGAGAAGAACCTAGAACCATGATTTTTTTCTCCCATATATTTGTATATAGTTCATAGCCAAGAAAACTCACTTTTGAAATAATTTGTCAATATTGCATAGTTTTGAAATATTGAAAGAACATCATTAGGAGAGTTTTATTTTTTTCTGACTCCTAGTTGTGCGGTTTGAAAGTAGAAGTGGATATGGAAAAAATCGCAGCTGAAATTGCCCAGGCAGAAGAACAGGCTCGCAGGAGGCAGGAGGAACGGGAGAAGGAGGCAGCAGAGCAGGCGGAACGCGGCCAGAGCAGCGCGGCTCCTGAGGAAGAGCCGGCGGCCGGGAAGACTGAAGAGAAGAAGGACGATGAGAACATTCCGATGGAGACAGGTAACCTCCCAGTTGACACCAAAGGAAATGTCAACAGTTTGTATAGTTTTCTTTAATTTTGATTTTTCTTTCTCAATGCTTCTCAGAGGTTACTCTGTTAATCTTGCCTCTTGAGTTATTCTCTGTATGACCTACCTATTTCTTTCTAAACCTTAATCTCTTACAGTAGATTCGCTTAAAATGTTGGTATCAGTACAAAACAGCAGTGGTGTGTTGTCTTCAGTCTTCCTATTCGAGGTCTTGGTTATTTGCCCAGATTGAGTCATGTCGTTTTCTGGCTTGGGAATATGAAGTATGATGACCCTGGAGTCAGACAGATCTGGGTCTGATACTGCTTCACCACTTGTTAGCACTATGACATGGATTAAGTTATTTAATCTGTTCCCTCATTTGTACATATCCTAGTACCTGCCTCCAACAATGAATTCCAAAGGACAGAGAAGAAAATGGACATAAAATCATTTAGTATTGGGTTTGACATGGTATTGGCGCTCAGTATTTTAACCTTTATTGCTAAAATTGTTTAAATAAGATATGGTCATTTCTCTTAAGATGAGTCGTTTTTGGTGTCCTAGGACAGGGTTGGGTGAGTAAAATCTGCAGGCCAAATCCTGTCCACCGCCTGGTCTTGTAAATAAAGTTTTATTGGAATACAGCCACACTTGTTTGCTTACATGTTGTCTGTGGCTGCTTTCGCTTTGCCACAGTATAATTGAGTAGTTGCAGCAGACACTGCCTGGCCCGCAAAACCTAAAATATTTATTGTCTAGCCTTTACGGGAAAAGTTTGTTGATCCCATCCTAAAAAAATTCTTACTTCCAGGTATACTGATCTTCCTGATTAAAAGCATTCCTCAAGGCAAAAAGTAACATGTAAAACTTACATAAAATACTGATTCAATCGATTATTACTTGAAATTTTGAGATCACCTTACCTTCCGGCACTATTTTGACCCTGCCCAGTGCACTCTGTAAAGAGGACTAAGCTAAAAGTATCTTAGGAAACACAACCAAAGGTTCTCCGGACCATCATTGCGAGAAGTGGAGGGGCCAGGAGTCATACTTAGTCCTCAACTGCCGACTTCTGACTTAACATCAGAAAACATTTAATGGAATATAAATATCTTTACCATATATTTCTACAAAATTTAATTCAGCAGATTAACATTTCAGATAGTCAGATTTTAAGTTTCATTATCTGAGCCTTTTTCTGTTTTGTGTGAACATGTTTTTTGTCTTAAATTTGGAGCTTGAGGGCATTTTTGTGGTTAAGGCAAGAGCTTGAGAAATCGAGTATGGCTTGTTGCTCGTGTTGCAACTAGACAACACTGAGTCCTTTGCTTCTGTTTTGTCATCTGTCAGTAGTGTGTGCCTATAGGTCTCTACTCAGATTTTATCCTTCTAGCTGAAGAAAAAAAAGTGAGGAAAATTGTTTGAGACTGTTAGAGCAAAAACCTCATGCTCTTATTTCTTACAGAAAACAGCCCAGCGTGACTTTAACAGAGTACCTGAAACATTGACCTTACATCATTTCCACACCTCCCTTCTTGCTTCTTAAATCCAAAGCACTCCACAACAGCATTATCCAATAGAAAGAAATGCAAGTCACTGTGTAGTTACGTTTTCTGCTAATGACATTTCTTAAAAATAAAGCCAAACAAGTAAAATTAACTTTAATAATATCTTACTTAACCCAGTATATCCTAAACAATATCATTTCAGCATGTGATCACCAGTTTTTAAGGTATTAATTGTTTGCATAAATCTGACATGTATTTTATACTTATAGCACATCTAAATTTTCATTAGAAATACTTGATTTGTATTTAGATTACATAAATTTGCAGTTAAAAAGTAGATTTTTAGGGGCCAGCCCAGTGGTGCAGTGGTTAAGTTCACATGTTCTGCTTCAGCGGCCTGGGGTTCACCAGTTCAGATCCCAGGTGCGGACCTACGTACCGCTTGTCAAGCCAGGCTATGCCAGGCACCCCATGTATAAGGTAGAGGAAGATGGGCACAGATGTTAGCTCAGGGCCAGTCTTCCTCAGCAAAAAGAGGAGGATTGGTGGCAGATGTTAGCTCAGGGCTAATCTTCCTCAAAAAGAAAAAAAGTAGTTTTTTAAACCCCAAATTGTTTCAAACACGCTAAAAGTTCTTCAGTCACATCAGCTCATTTCAGCTGCTTGAGAGATGCACGTGGTTAGGGGCTACCATATTGGACAGCGCAGCTCTAGACTGTCAGCGTAATTAGAAGAAGAAATTTTTGTCTTGGAACTAATAGTGACAAATGTGTGATTACAGAGGAGACACCCCTTGAAGAAACGACAGAAAGCCAACAGAATGGTGAAGAAGGCACGTCTACTCCTGAGGACAAGGAGAGTGGGCAGGAGGGGGTGGACAGTATGGCAGAGGAAGGGACCAGTGATAGTAACACTGGCTCGGAGAGCAACAGTGCAACAGTGGAGGAGCCACCAACAGACCCCATACCAGAAGATGAGAAAAAAGAATAAACGTTGCCTTGTTTTATGTGTTCTAAATACTTTTTTAAATGAAAAAAATGTTTTTTGAGTTTTAATGGTGTCATGTGGTTTGTGTATTAATATTTTTCTTGTCCATGTCACAGCACCAAAGGCTTTTGGACCATTTAGCATCATGAGCCGAGTGGCACAGTCACCTTTCTAAGGGTTGGTGAAGATGGTTCTTTGCTGTGGAATTGTTTTAGTCCTCAACTGCTGAAAGCCTCAGAATTTAAATTAATTGAGGAAATGCCCACTTCTTTTAGAAAATTATCCTTTGATGCTGCAGAATCTGCTCTTACAAATGCCTTCCTTCAGCTCACTCGGGTGCTCACCAAAGCCATAGCTTTAAACCTTCCCAGCTCCCCCACAGCTTCCCGACAGCCCCCTTTCCTGTCTGCTTCCGCAGAGGAGCTTCTTGAACACGTAATCACGTGTGAGTATGTATTTGTTCACGGACCCTTTTTTTATTTTTAATCAATGTCAGATGCCAAGAGTTGTGTTGAGGTGTTGAGTGTACCTGCACCTACACTTGGATCGTATTGATCCGGAAATAGTCTCCATAGTTAAAGTAGTTACTAGCTGATGAAATCATCATTGAAGTGAACATGGCACATATACACTATACTGCTTTTTGTTATAATTAATAGTGGGTGTGTTCCTGTAAATTCATCCTTATTGTACAGAAAAAGAGATTACTTTTTTACCAAGTTTTCCAAAGACAGAATAGATCATAAGGCTTAAGGAATTGAATATTCTTGCAGTGGAGCATCTAACTTCAGAATGATTAGCCCGTGCTCGAAGAAAAGCAGCTGGGAATTAAGTTCATCCACTTGAAATTGTTTTACAATAATCAAAAACATTCAAAACCTCAAGGCTCAGGATCCCATAGATCAGAGCCTACCTTTTTGATAAACTCAGTAAAGTCTCAGAGACCAGAAGCAAGACGGTTTGTGACATATATGCGTCCCAAAAACTAGAATAGATTTTTACTGAATAGTGGTATATCTGATGGTATATGTTTCTTAAAAGTCCAAATGTAATAAAAAGATGGAAAAAAAAGTCTCAGTGTTTTTAATGCACTAAATATTTTTGTGCAAAACTAGCATATAATTTTTTTACTGTACTGCAGTGACTGTGGTATGGCCACACGCAGCGGTTATAGACGCGCTCGGTTAGGGCCCTGTCTCGCCCGGGGGCGTGCACCGCCGCAGTAGGAGGTTCATTTGTACAAGACACTCGGGAAGATTAGTTTCCTTCCATTGTAGTCATGTCACATATGGGGCTTGGTCTTTGACTCCAAAAGTAAAGGAAATAATGTTTCTACATTTACGTACAAGCATGAAGGAACCGATGACATTTAAGTTATCTTTGAAAAAAGTGTGGCTCAATAAATAAATGTAAGCCCTGTGCTTACATAGAGATAACTTCTCTAAATGGGCAAGACTTGATTTACAGTGAATTTAGTGCTACTGAGCTCACGGCACATGGTGACTATACGACTGCACTCTGTTCAGCCTCTTGGGAGCGAGGAGGAAAGGAAATTTGATGTCACATGGAAACAACACTTGATACCTGTTTTTCTAAACAATGCATGGAATCTTTCTCCTGCTTCTTTGTGAATCAAAGAACTAATTTATCAAGTAGGACTGTTTCTGGGTGTCAGCATTGTAGGGCTAAAAGAGCTTCAGACATCTCATCCCTGACAAATTGAGTATCTTGGTTACATTCTCTAATAGTCAAAACTGGGCAGAGAAGTTGTTAAATGATATGGGTGGGAAAACTGCCAGAGCAAGACATCAGGTTACTTACTATGGTGTTGAAGTCTCCAAGAGGATGAAAGTGGTCCTTTGCTAAGCTGGAGATGGCAGTGGGAAAACAAGTGTGTCTAGACCAAGCCTGCCCATACGATGCTGGGGCAATTGGCTGCAGGTGAATTAATCAGGAGACTAGACAGCTGTTAACTGCAGGGGGCAAAGAGTGAATTAAAATTCCCAGTTGTCAGAGTGATAGACGTAGAAACCACCAACGTTTGAGATGTTCCCTAGTTTCTTTGAGAATGTGGAATATAGTCAACATCTTTGATTTTTTTTTTCACATGTCCCCATGGGCGTTGGGCAAGTCACAAACAGCCTGTTTCAACTGTAAAATAGATTGAACTATTTTCTATCTCAATCCCCTTACTACTACAGATAGCCATGATTTTTAGTTTATTTTGAGTATGAATGCATAAAGCTTGTAAAAAATATCAATAAAAATCTACTTTTATTGATTTTTAACAAATGGGAGAGAGGGAATCCCCCTGATGAATAAATGAAAAGCTGTAGGATATGTTGGAGTATATTGTAAAGCCATTTGGTTTAAAACTAACTCAGCCTGACCTTGTTTTTCCAAAAAGGCCTGAGAAGAATGATTTCTTTAAAGATAGGGCTATGGCTTCCCCCCTGTACCAGCATCTCCTTAAGGACAAGCATCTCTTCCTGGAAACTAAAGATTAATTACCAACCTGCTGTGCTCACCTTGTGACCACTGACCTGCTTTGCTAGCAATCTCATGACTGTTGTAAAAGGCATATTCCTGTCATATGTGACAGATGCCCTTTGTTCCAGGATGGTATGTAACCTCTCTGTACACCCCACTTCTTGCGTGTACTTCCTTCCTTGGGGAAGGAAGACCCCCAGCCTATAGTCCTCAGACCTGGCTCATAATAAACTCATCCAAAATTTTGATTTATAGATTGATTATAGATTATTTGTGTCGCCACCCGATAGTCCCCCAGTTTTTGTACAGGAGTTTCAAATTTCATATCTTTCTCCATCTTTCAACAAGCATGTCTTTTAAACAGCTCTCCTATAGTATATGAAAATTATGTATTTTGTAAAGCAGAGCTTTCAGGAAAAATTACTAGGAGCGATTTCTCTTTAACGTGATAATCTGAATGTCCTATGGAAAAGACAGAGTACTTCATTCCCTATGTTTGAAAAGAGAATCTGAGGTTAAATCCTTCCAGATTTTTAGTTTGGAGCCTTCACATTTAGACACTCGTTTGAGGTTTTAGACAGTTGGTGCTGACAGTGTGAAACTCCAATTGCCTGCAGTTAAATTGAGGCTTTGGTTTCTCATGTGAACGAGCAATGAGGCTGGGATTACACTTTAAATCCTCATTTCAGAAATACTTCCCCTCCACCCCCAGCTCTGCCACACACAGTCTCCCCGCCTGGTGTCAGGGAATGCAGGAGTTTTATCTTGTTTTTCACCGCTGGGCAAACCTCGCTGGAACAACAATTGACTTCTTAATAATTTGCACATTAGAGGGACTTAACGTCTCTACAAATGAGAAATCCCTGCGCGATGACAAGCTAAAAGGAACTCAGCCTTTTTAGAAGAAATCGTGCTGATTATAATTTGGCTTACTGTGATAATGTTTCTTTGATCAGTATGGTAAGGAAAATTCTGAGTTTAGTAGAAAACGACGTCTAAATGTGTTGGTAATTATAAAACGGCTTACAAATGTTGTAATATTAGGTTGAACCATATCAAATTGCCAATGTAGGTTTTTATGTGCAAAATGACCATTTCACCTGGTTCTACCTCATAATTGTACATTTTATGGTTCACATATAAGCCTGTAATAGCAGCTTTCTGAGTGAAATGGTGGAACTTTCCATTTACCAGAGTGACCTATATGTTTCTCTAACAATTACTGGATATTGGTAAAACTGATTAAAATGCAAATCCCAGACGGTCAAGTATTTAACCTGATTTTAAAAAATATATTGCAGTAAACAAACTAGCTGGCTTATGTTCACATTTAACACCAAAAAGTTTCTTATAATTTTTTTGCGTGTATTCAGGAGTAAAAAGTGTTATGTGGGGAGGAGACATTCCTGAATGATTTAATTGCTTTTTACATAAAACTGAGACAATAATTGCGGCTACTGGCACCCTGTGATGAGCCATTGGAAAGGCCACCTCAGACTCCTTTTTTTTTTTTCTTGAAGATTGGCCCTGAGCTAACATCTGTTGGCAATCTTTTCTTTTTCCTTCTTCTTCCTCTTCTTCTTCCTCTTCGCCTTCCCCTCCCCCCTTCTCCTCCTCCCCAAAGCCCCCCGGTACATAGTTGTATATTCTAGTTGTGGCATGTGGAACACCACCTCAGCGTGGCTTGATGAGCAGTGCTAGGTCTGCACCCAGGATCCAAACCAGTGAAACCCTGGGCTGCCAAAGCCGAGTACGCGAGCTTAACCACTCGGCCAGGGGACTGGCCCCTGCCTCAGACTCCTTGACATTCAGGAGTGGCAAGGACCTTAGGTCCACCACCTCAAGCACCCATTGAGCCCTTGGATAGAGAAATTCCCTTCCACACGTCCCTTAGGATTGTCAAGCACTGCTCAAGTAAACACCTCTAGACTTAGGGAGCCCATCCTTTTGTCAGACAGCTCATTCCTTCTTTCGTTAACTGAAATTATTTCCTCTCATTGAGGTAAAATCCGTCTTCCTATAATTTCAAACCCCTGGTTCTACTTCTACACCTCGAAGTCAAAGAGAATTGAATGTAATCCTCTTCCAAGGAAAAGACCTTCAAATATTTCAGGACTGGTGCCCCTTGAGACCCTGCGGTAGGACAGTTCCTCTCTTCCAGTGTCTCTCTTGGTGAACTGGGGTAAAGGACTATCCCTTTTCTATTTTGAGGTCTAGACCACAAGAAAGCACTAGTATTTTCTCTAATGGAGTAAAAGCATAGTTCCTCTGCAGTGTATTGCACTTAATCAAGGTACAGCGTCTCTGGGCCTCAGAAACCACCTATCTAAAATACGGAGGGGTGTTCCATGATGATCTTAGGGTCCTGTCCAGCACAGAATTTTTATAACTATATTTTGGATGCAAACTCTGTGAAATGAATGTCGATTATTATTTTCACACGGAGCAAAAAGGGGAGAAAACAGGTACAATTCACTAACACAGTATTTCTCAAATCTCAGTCATTTGCATACCACGCCACAATTTTTCTCGGTAACATCTGTACCATTATAACTTAACAGCTTTCTTTGAATCAGCTTACTTATTCCACTTGAATAATTTATTTTAAAAGGAAACTTTGGGGGCCAGCCCCATGGCCCAGTGGTTAAGTTCACACACTCCGCTTTGGCAGCCCAGGGTTTTGCTGGTTCGGATCCTAGCTGCAGACATGGCACGGCTCATCAGGCCATGCTGAGGCGGCGTCCCACATGCCACAACTAGAAGGACCCACAACTAAAACTACACAACTATGTACTGGGGGGCTTTGGGGAGAAAAAAGAAAAATAAAATCGTAAAAAAAAAAAAAAAGGAAACTTTGTATCAGCATAAATACAAAACCATTGTCTGTTGTCATAAAGGAAAATAATCTTAAAGACAGATATTTTGCTAGTTATGTTTACACTTAAATACATACTGTTTTAAAGAACATTATTTAAACAGTCTTCACACCATCCAAAATCATCTGAAGGATCCCACATGGGAGTGGGGATAAAGCTGTTTGGGGAAGATTGCACGAAAGAGAAGGTGCGCTTCCTGCTCCCTGGAGCTCCAGGAACCTTGTCTTCTTAGAAACCATGCTGGGTCAACAGCAGCTTAAAATTCAAGGGCAAATTCATGAAGGTTAATCCCACAATCATCTAATAACAATAAAAGCCTAGCATTTGTTGAGCACTTACTATATTACCATGTGCTTTTCGTACTTTTGAGTCTTATTTTCTAATTCCTGGATTTAATGTTAGAGTAGATCACTTTACCAATGAAATCTATATTTATAATCTTGGTCCTGAGGTGATCAATCAGCTCCTACAAATCATTTTTCTTGGAGAAAAAACAAACTGGCCTCAGGCTGTCACTCATGGTATTAAATGATATGGAGATTGAAGACTTGCCTTACGGATTTCATCACTGTGGAGTAATAATCCAAAAGACTCAAGACAAAAGAATCTACTTAGAGATCAGTGTTCTTGTAATGGGAGAGGTATGTGTAAAAATTATTCCCTTTTGAATCCCCACCTCCTTTCCTTAGATATCTCCATACCACC